TGTTGGTGGTCACTGAGCGAGGAGGCAAAGAGTGGGCGCCAACGGCGCAGGAAGGTCGGCCTTTGACTGGTTTTGGTCTACCGCAGCCATTGGCATACTTTGATGTCACGAGTACATGGCCCGATACATTTGATGTCCTTCTCCCAAGCGATGTTGGTTGCGTCTTGGGCGATGGTAGCGCCTGCTGCTGTTGCAGTGATGTGCCTGAAGACTGCGTCCGAGAAGATGGCAGCTGTCGGAATACCCGGGAAGTGATTGAGGAGGTTTACAGTGGTGCTCAAACAGACCGCTGTTTCTTCAACTCGCCTGTGAGGCCTAGCTCTCCACCAGGTAATAGTGGATCTAGTCCTGGATCTGGTGGCGATCTTGTCTGTGAATAAGCTAAAACTCCAAAGAGTGCCCCATGGAGTGCCGACTGGCTTTTGGCATGGATTGTGACATCCGGCATGAGTCTCATGGCATTGGTGGGTGCTTTCAAAAAGACAGCCTTTGATCGACTCTTGGAAGCCATTGGAATCAGATTGGATCACAAACTTGATCAAATTACAGATTCCATGGCGATTGATGTTCCAGCAGAAGCAGCAATGGCACAGGCAACGGCGATTCCGGAAGCAAGAGCCGAAGTGGAAATGCAACGGGTTTCAAAGTGAAGGAAAGTTGGATGGCGGAATACTTCAACACATATAAGCCCCCATGAGTGATGGGGGCAAAAGTAGTCATTAAAATAACATTGTGTAGCAAATGAATGTGTAGGATAACATATATGTCTTTGCATTCTTTGTTTATTACAACATCGACCGATTATTGATTGAGTCATTACATTTTACGTCTGTTCTACTGCAATCGATATGGAAGCGCGTCTCCAAACGAATACATGCACCATGAACACCGGAGGCAAAGTCATATAATATATATTGAATAGCAATATGTTTGTTTTTTTGGTACATATCCCCATGCTATTCTAATTGCTTTCTACCTGAAACTGATGTTATCGATATAGTCCTAAGATGTGTCTCCCCGTCCCCGCCCCATATTATTGCCCGACGAGCAAGTATTATACCATATATATATATATATATACAAATACTAGGCAATCGTCGTGTCATTAGAAGACTTGGAATGATGATGAAGTACCAATTCGTTCTGCAGTTTTTCAGTGGTCGACTTGATTTGAAAAAGTTCTTGCTGCAGACTGAAAATGTCGTCGTGAAGAGTCGCAATGGTGTTGAGATAGTTGTTCATTTCTTGATAGTCTTGCATCATAGTATTTGTGACGGCTCGTTCTTCTTCCTCGTCATCCAAGACAACGTTGGTAGAAGTATCATGACTAGCAGTAGTCGTAGTAGTAGTCGTAGTCGTAGTAGTAAAGTTGGCAATCAATCGAGCAAGTTCCAAATCATGGTCATTGAGTTCCTCGTCCTCGTCCTCCGTGCACTGCTGCTGTACTAAAAATGATTCGTCCACAGCAGGGTGAATCTTCTTCTTTTGGAGTTGAGTGATGCTGCTGCGAGTCTGGCAGCGAGCCTTTCGCCTGCGCGTTGTTTGGTTGCAAGTCTTTTGCTTCTTATTCTTTTTGGGTGCGACAAAAGGCTTGTGCGGAATGGCTTGTCGTTTGTTCATTGCCTTCGGTTTTTCTGGTGTTTTCCCCTCCATCATCAGTTGAGCCAAAATCTTGTCGCGATTCCGTCCGACAAACCAAATGAAATCAATGTCGTTGAGTTGCTGAATCTTCCAATCATTCAGTTGAGGAACGTGACGTCCCTTTTGCAACAATCGATACAGCTTGCGTTGGGCCGAGACCCAGGTTCCGAGCTGTTGGTGACGCTGTGGAACGAGCGTGTTGCCATGTTCCTTGCGGTAGTCCAAAAGTTCTTGGAATCGGAATTTCCAGGTTTTGTCAGCGGTTTCTCGTTCGTCTTGCATTGATGGTGAATTTGTTGATTTTGATGATGATGATGCCATTGCTATTGTTGCTTTGTTGAATTGGATACGTAATTGCTTCAGCAGTTGATGTTGGCAATGAAAGGAAATCAATTTGAGGATCGATGATTTCTGATTTTATGTTTCACAAACGTTGTGTGTGTATACATTTTATGTGTCGTCCAAAACCTCCGATTTTTTTCTAGCGCGCCAGGATTATTAGGTGAAGCTTCTCATCAACGCGTAATTTTTACGCAAAAAAGCTAGTACATCATTCCATTGAAACTACATCAGTGCCACGTTTCCGCGCCAGAAAATTTCCAAATTCCAAAACATCACAAAAATCGTTCATTATATGCATTGCAAACTACTGAATTCGTTCCGCCGTATATATACGCTTAGGTTCATTCGTTCATCGTACCCGCTTCTTTCCTCTTGCTATTATTGCACCAATCAATACAAACTCCATATCAGACTGCTATCCATATTAGGGCATTCTCTCAAATCAGGAATCATCATGGCGTGCAAGAAATCTAGTAGTATTAATACTCCTAGTACTACTCCTAGCGCCCTTTCCAGCAAACTCGCCGTCCTGGATTTCGACGACCCCGAATCATTGGCTTTTCACTATCCACTTTTGCCTCATTGTGGAACGGACAGGGGCGTCCCAACACACTTTCTGGGGCTCGATACTGACTTTGAAAACGTCGACAAGAAAATAAAGCAGTATCGCAAGTTGAACGACCAACAACAAGCGATTCAGCGCCAGAAGTGGACGGAGATGGAAGACTGGGAGAAAGAAACTTTCCTAAACAGAATCGATGAGCTCAAACGTATGCAGCAGGATTTACAAAACAAGCGTGCCTTCTTTCATCCACTCTCTCGTCGCAAGAAGCGAAAGACCAATTTTGACCGACGAGCAGCCGAAATTGAAACGCTTATTGGGCCTCCCGGAAACCGCTCGGTCGGAATCTTCTCTTCCAAAGCCGAACGAGACGCATTGGTAGAATGGAGGATGGAAACTACCCATCATGTTCCGTCCACAGCTTCTACTCACTCGATGGGAGCGCACGCAAGAACCGTTTCACAGCAATACGACAATACCAGCCAGCAAGCTATTGATGAGATGCTACTCAAGGCCGCGACTGCCATTGACACGGTATTTTTGGATTCTGGCAATCCCACTCTACCCAAAATCTCCATTGGATTGTTTGTCTTGAATGAGATTCGATTGCCGTGGACAGGCGGCACTGTCGACCGGAACTGTGACAACAACAACAACAACAACAACAATGATGATCTTCACAATAGGGCTGAGAAACCCCAGTTTACTATATAGTGACACGAAACGCAAACGACATGACGCCATTGCTGCATGCCATTGTCGCATGTTGCGCAGAGAAAGATGGTCCAGGTCTGCAGGATTACAACTTTCGACCCATTGTAGAAAACAAGCATGGATATGTGACCCCCAAGGTCAAAAAACGAATCAAAATGGACCAACTCAATCGAGATGGCCCAAGCATGCAACCACGACCACTCAAAGATGTTCTTGGTAGTCGTCCTAGCAGCGGTTTTCCGAAACGTGCATAATTAGTAAACTATATTCAAATATTCAATATCCATGTAGGTATAGATAGGACTTGTGTAAATATTCTTCAATGAATGCGACCGGCAGTCAACTCCCAATTGCTCGTGTCTCCGTCGGCAC